GCTGTGCTTATACTCACTGCCTATGCCCCACCAACTGCTCCCCAGGGCTCCAAGTAAATAAATGAAAATAATAATATAAAAAGTATAAATCATTACCTAACACATTCATCTCATGTTTTCAATCATTCAGCAATTAATTTTGCATCTTTATTATGTCATCTTTATTAGAACCTTTCTGAGACTGGTTGTCATGGGAACATGTTATTGAACAGTTTGATGGGTGCATCCATGTACTTGGTTCCCATAAAAGCTCAAGAGAAGACCGACCTTGAGCCCAGAATGCAGCGGCTTGCCCACAGACTGCAGTAAGTTGGAAGTTTTGACCACTTTTTTTTATTTTCCTCAAATGGAAAGCAACTTGTCAATCAATCAATCAAACCATCCTCTGGCATCCATTACCGTCTAATTTACAATCAAACAGGACTAGGGAGATTGGAAGCGCACAAAACATTAGTTAGCATTTTTATTTCCCAACCATAAAGGTGATTTGTATTTAATTTATCATTATCATGACATGGTGAGATTGCGTCAACAAAACATCGGAGTTCTTGAACTTGAACTGATTTTGCTACTTAAATAAATTGAAATAGATAAACATGTACTTGGCGAAGGCTGTACAATTATTGTTTAATAACGGCTATATAAAATTCAATTGGCTAACTATAATGTTTTGAAATTAGGATAAGCAATGTATGCAGATAATATTAAACACTTAGTGTATACTGGTCTTAATATACAAAAGGAATAAATCATTTATAGTAGAAATTGTTCACTTCTGAGTTTGTGAAAATGTTGGCCTGATAGGTTTACATGCTTTCAGTTTCTACAACGTACAGTACTTTGTTTTCACAATAAATTTATGTTTACTGAGATGGTTACAAAATGTAAAAAATAACTGCGTTTTTACTCGATTTTTGTCTGGAAATATGCACTGCACTTGAAACAGAGCACAAGTGAACAGACAAAATTCATGACAGTCATTCGCAATTGTTGTTGTACTTTCTACTCGTTTTGAAAAGTGGAGTTTTAACTGTAGAAGATTGATAAAATGTGAGGGGGGGACAATTGATATGATTCCCCTCCCCCCAACTTTGTAAAATCGGGGGACGTGTCACCCACTGTTAAGCATATTCATATTTTTTTATTAAAACGTTGCCAAATATGTTATTTCCTTATGTTTTTTTAGAGAGGAAAAGGGTATTAAAGCATATTCGATCCCTATTGGCGGATCCAATGTTGTTGGTCTCCATGGTTACTTGTGTGGCTGGCAAGAACTCTTAGAACAGGTAAGTTGATTGGCAAACCTACCTGCAAACTAATATATTAAAACATGTGATTTTTCATCCAGCACAAATCTTAATAGATCTATTATAGAGTACAGTCCAGTCCCAAAGAGTTTAAATTGCGCCTATATGCATACATAGGACATGAGAGTGCAACATTGCACCTCACTATCAGTAGTCCAATACCTTACACGATGCATCACTTGCTCCTTACAAGCATGCTTATTTATACACATCTAGATGTGTATAAGAGACAGTATTTATATCAAGCGAGATGACATGACTGGATCTGTTTTATCAGGTAACAAGGTTAGATGTCTAATCCTGTATTGCTTTAGTCACACTGATAATATCAACATTTATTTAAATTAATAAGATCATTTAATAATACATCAAGTCACAGATAAAAGAAAGTATCATTTCCAATTATTTAAATTCATTTTAATACAAAAATTCAGGAATTTTCTTCTAAAAATAAATATTTTCCCTCTCTCTGTCTTGCATCACATTATTTCATATATTTAAGTTTGCCCCTGAATATCAGCTGACCATATTTAGGCATGTCACATGTTTTTGTCAAATAATATTTGATAGTCTGGACAAGTCCTTATTATTTGTCCTCTGCTTCGTCTCTGTCAGTCATCTTGTTTTTAAATTCAAATTTATCAGCGCCCTCTGTCATAAGTTTATGTTTTTATTAGGTACGGAAGTTGGAGTTCTTACTAGGTGAAGCCTTAGCAACTGGTTGCCAAGCAGTAATAACATGTGGTGGAGTTCAATCAAACCATTGTCGCACAACAGCAGTTCTATAGATATGATAGTAAAAACAGAGAATAAATACAAAATACAGTAGAACCCCCTTCCTTTAGGACACCACCCCCTCCTATTAAAGGGACACTTTCTTTGGTACTGAAGCTGTCACAGGAAATGTGATAGTGTGTAGACAGTTCTTTATACTGATTTAAAATATTTTTTATTTTTTTAAAGAATTCATTAAAAAAGTAGCCCAGCAGACTAGTATTTTGCTTGACCACACATACACTGGTAAATCAGCACTAGCACTGACCAACGAGCTCAGGAAACACAGGTCAAAGTTCAAAGGCAGCCGAATACTCTTTCTACATTCAGGTATGTATCCATGTTTGTGATTATTGAGGAAGGGCTGTAAAATTTGAGAATCCCTCCAACTTTTCATCTTGCTAAGGTTGCCATTCTTAAACAATTCTTATCAACATGCACTGTGTAACATAGTAAAAACAAAGATAGTTGTGCATGTGTGTAGAATAAAATTTAGTGATTATTGGTGGTTTGTATTGTATGCAGGGAAACAGATGAACACATTCTGATGTTCTTTTTTCTTTTTTATGCATCAGGTGGAATATTTAGCATGTTTGATGGGCGGCTAGGAGATGTTCAGATGCAGTCAGCTGGAGAAACATTGGTACAGAACTGGATGAACCCTGAAGATGAACCAACTATTGTTTGATGATACATTAATCATACAATAGTTGTTTCATGAATATCTTGTACCGCTGGAGTTGATGTATGATACACATATGAGGGCAGGCTTCATTCCTTTTTTCCCCTTTTTTTTTTACAGTTTATTGCACATGCTATGGATTCTGCACTATAAGACTGCAATGCATATCTTGTAACACTGGAGTACACATGTTGATGGATGCTACACACATGAGGGCAGGCTTCATGACATTTTCCTCAAATTGGATGTGAATGAGAATGTTAATATGCTTCAAATAGACTTGGGTGAATAGTGTGAGACAAGGTGGCTGCACCAACGCTCAGTAAACTATTTAAATATCAGTTGATTTGTGTTAGGTGTTTACTATTTAACCCGTAAGCTGGGGTAGAGATTGGGTGCAAGACCAGGGCGTGTCCACATGCCAGTTGGCCATGTGTCAAACATCTTTCCTTTATGGGTCCTCAATTCCACCAAGTTACAGCCAACATTTGTCCCAGGCAATGTGTGATGCAATTATACACTCCTTAAACCCAATAATAAAAATTAGATGTTATGATAGAAGAAAAATGTAATACTGTTACGGAGAATGTTTCTTTTACTTCAGTTTTTCATGTCTTCTCCTAATGCTTGTTTAATGCAGGCCCCTGTTAATAATAGGATTATGGTCCATGGTTAATGTTTTAAATTTTTTAATAGGTATTTTTGTAAATTTTATATAATTCGGACTTGGATGCAATTTTAATGTTAATAAAAGAAACTGGAAAACTGAATCTAAATAAAAGGCATTATTACATTATTCTAATATATGATGTCACCTGCTCATTATACTAAACTCATTAATATTTAACTAAAGTACGGCAGTTATTATTTTATATATAAAATGATAAATTGTAAACTATTTACCATATGGTGGCAACAACATGCAAAGGTCCCCTTGACCACACCTTAGGAAATAGGAGTCAGGGGACATGGATCTGGACTCACCAAGTCACCAATGCCAACAATTTCCATCCCCACCCCCTCTTTCTGCTTGCTTTCCCTGAACGTATACCTCGAGCAATTACTGATAATTTACTTTTTTGCTTGATTTATTTGTATTTATCAGCTCTGTCCACACAATCAAATTTTCTTTTATAGCCTGATGTGTCTATATATCCCTGGTTCTTAATCGGCGGCCCGTATGCTTTCCCCGCGAGGCAATTTAATTTGGCACCAGATGTGCACGGAGTGGTTTGGAACAAGATTATATACGGTAGGCCATAAATAGAATAAATAGCGCCAAAAATTGATCACTGGGTTACTTTCCGTGGTCCTATTCTTCACTGTGTTCTTCAAACAAGCCAAAAGCGTGTTATTATTTAG